ATTTTTAGGGGAAGCCATATATATGCTATTTGAGATAACGTAATGTAAGTGTGCTATTTCATTTTCTTAGATTTCTCAATATTGTAATAATTCATTATTCATTGAATGAAAATGCTTAGTACCGGTGAAATAGATTCCGCTAGGTCTAGATGCAGATTAACTTGTATAATCAAGTTTTGAGTAATTTGTCCAGACACTTTTCGTTATCCTTTTTATTATAACAGGCAACTGGATAACCATTCAAATTTTAGAAATTCTATGACAATTATTATTATTATTATTATCATTTGGAAGAAATGAAGAGAAAGGTGGAAATCTCTTGAGAAGAGCATCCGTACCATTCACACTTTTATTTATTTATTTTTCCACTGTTCATTCCAAAAATACAAGTTTGTATTTAAAGCTAACTGCGAGCTAAGATATTGTTATATGGGTTTAGTAATCTCATGTTACATGAAATAGTACTATCACGTGGGTGATATAAATATGTGGGGTCCACAATTTAAAAAGAAAAAAAAAAAAAAAGAAAAAATTGGCACAAAATCCTATATGTGTATGACATGAGATAGGTATCTTATGTAGTATGAGACTATCATTTTCCATTGTTATATTTTAAGACTATTTTTGGACCATATGTAAGAGTCTTATGCTGGAGATTATATTATTTTTCCACTGCACTGATTTATTTATGCTTGACGTCACTTTATTCCAACTCAAATAGACGTCATTTTAAGTTCAATGTAGATAAGTTATTTACCTTGACCGTAGAAAAAACAAACCCTTAAAAAATTACAATGTAATTTAAAAGTTTATTTACCTGCTATAATATAATTTTCTCAAAATATTATTTATCTTTTAAAATAATTTTATCTTTTATAAGAGCAAGGTTATAGTTACAACCTTTTTTATTTACAACCTCTTACAACCATATCTTATCACCGTTGATTTCCGTCAATTAACGCATTTTAGCAAATTAAACTCATTAATTAATTATTAATTCACAATAAATGATAACCGTTGATTGACGGAAATCAACGGTGATAAGATATGGTTGTAAAATAAAAATTGTAAGTATAACCTTCTTCCTTTTATAATATGAAAAATCTTTTATAAATGATTTATGGGAGATCCAATTCCTATTATTTCGATTAATTAAAATTATTTTTTTATTTAGCTTTATTAAACTCCACCAAAAGTGCGAGTGTGACAAGTGAAGGGCAGTTTAACAGATCCCAAGCATAAATTATAGAGTAAATATCCTTTTTGGTCCTCAGCAAATTTCACGATGCCCGTTTTATTCCATAGCAAATAAAAAGGCCTATCGTGGTCTCTAAGAAATTCAAAATGGACTCATTTAGTTGAAATTGTGGTCCCTCGCAAATTCAAAAAAAACCCATATTAGTCCCTAAAAAGACTAAAATGGGTCCATTTTGAATTTCTTAGGGACCACGATAGGCCTTTCTATTTGCTGGGGACTAAAACGGGCATCGTGAAATTTGCTGAGGACCAAAAATGGTATTTACTCTAAATTAAAATCTTGCCTAGAATACCCACTATTCTTTTCTTTTATTTTTTTACTAAAGTAATTATTTGCACGAAAAGGAGATAGGTTAGTTCGTAGCTACGAAGCACGGGCACTGACACGGGACACGATACGACACGACATGCTGACACGTTAATTCTAAAAAATGATATATTTCGACATGTTGGGATACGTTTTGATATTAAATAATATTTTTAATATATATAATATAAATTATATTTAATACATATAACAGTTCATAATAAGTCATATAACCAATCAAATATTTAAATTTCTTAACATGTCGAATTTCATAACAGAAAAAAATTGATTTATAAATGATTTTTTTTTTAATTTTAGTTAATAAAATAAAATTAAGATTAAAAAAAACGTATCGGAGCGTTAACCACGAGTCAGAAAAAGTTGAATGTGTGTTGAAAAATCGTGTCGAAGCATGTCGTCGGAGAGTTGACCACGTGTCCTAAAATGTTGACCACGTGTCGGAACGTGTCCGTGTCGGACACGTCATTTTTTGAAAAGTGTGTGTCCGGGTATCTGAGGGGTGTAGTCCTCAGAGTTAGTAGTGAAAAGGAAAAAGTTTAATTTTCACATGTTATTTTTGAAAAAAATTAAATATCTTTATTTTTAATCCAATCTGCACTTCAAATTAATTATATAGTCGACTCGAAGAGCTTATAGAAATACCAAAAGAAGCCGACTAGCCTCTGATTTTATTTGCAACCCTTTAGGAGACATTTAGTAGAGGAGAAACTTTTTTTTACCAGGTCAATATAATTACTGGAAAAATGGTAAAAAAGTAAGTTTGATGGTAAAATTGAAAAAAAATATATTTGGTAGGACAAAATATTACCAAGAAAATTGATTAAAGTTTTCTAAGTCTATATTTGATTGAAGGAAAAATATTGATGGAAAAATGGGTTAAAATTACAAAAATAACCACTCTACTTCTTGAATCTCCACACAAGAAAGAGATTGAGAAAACGTACTTCGCTAGGGTCAATTTTGTCTTCATTTCAATTTTTCTTTTCTTTTCTTTACCCAGTATAATTCAAAATACCACCTCTCATTTCGGTTTTTGGAACCGTATTTTTCATGAAATTTTACAAACAAATCAAGATGGATGAACAATGAATTTTTCTAGCTAAATTTTTTTTGAATCTTGTACCAATTATGGTCAAATTAAAATATCAATAGAAGTTGCCTAGCTATCTATCACAAAACCCCCCCCTATCACACACCCCCTTAATTAAAATTGTTAGTTGTTCGATTTATTTACACGGTTATAGCCAGTCATCATCATCTTCTTCGTCTTCTTCTTTTAAAGAGTAGAATTTACCCGACGGACTTGGCAGAAGTATCCGTGACGCCGTGACGGCGCTTAGAGTGGAGGGTAGAGATTAAAAGAAGAAGAAGGAAAATTACAGTTTAGAGATTGGATATCACCTTTATCTCAAAACTTTATAAATATGGTCAACTTATATAACGTTCGCTTTTATTTTAAAAGATTATACTTTATTTTTCTACTAAATTAATATGCATTATATTTTAATTTGTTTTAATGTGAAGGTATAATTTTTCTTCTCTGTGCAACGTTATTAATGATTAATTTTGAAAGGTGGATAAATCTAAAAAAAAAACGGATAATGTAATTTAAATATTTCATAATTTACTGAAAAAAGACAAGTAATATTTTCCAATAAAGTTCAAATCTTGAAATTCTAGCTGTATATCCCAAACTTCCTGCCCTAGTGCATGAAATACCAAATCACCTTTTAAGCATCTAAGCCTGTGGCCAAATGAATCAAACCAACATGATATAGTAAACAAGAGCTGCAAGTTGCAAAATAGAGTTGCCACCAACACCATCTACCCCTTCAAGGCCCATAAAATGATGATGACCTCTTTCTCCTTAAATTGGCCAACTCAGAACCTCTGCAATTAATTAAGAGTGATGGTTTAAGCACCATATATATACTAGCCAAAAAAGTAGTTCCAAAGGTGCAGGTAACTACTAACAATATGATAAATATATAATTAATAGGCCAGAGAAGAAACACACACGTAATGAAAAGCTTTCAACCATCAACTTTTACTATTTTAAAATTCCGTGGATTGTATTGGGAGTTCTGTGGTCTTTGCTTGGAAGCCTCTCCAATTTTCTACCTTCCCATTCAGAGCAAGCAATATCAGACAATTAGAACACAGATTAAAAAAAAAAAAGTATAAATGTCCAAACTAAGCAGTTAATATGACTGGTGTGGTGAGTAAAAGTCTTTTAAAAGTAGGGTTATGTTTATCTTATTTTACATGAAATAAACAACTCTCCTACACACACAAAAAGAGATTAGGTCCCACCACTCTTTTTTCTCTTTCCTCTTACCTGTGGGTCCCACTTATACTTTTGTTTCTATAACATGAGGTAATTTTTTTTCTACAACATAAGAAAAATATATCCTTTAAAACTATCAAAAAATAAATAAATTTTTTTTTTTACAAAGGCTCCAAAATCCAAATGCTGACAAAATGGAAGACTCAAGTCTACCGGTCTAAGTCAAGTAAACCCTTTAGACAAGCAACACCCACTTTCCCCTGCATCCACTCCACTCAGATGATGCCAAAGTTGCACCCACTTGTGTTTAAAACTCATAGGTTAACGAATTTTGTTATTTCCACATTAATAATAAATACATAAATTTTAAACGTATTAGAAAAACAAAAATAAAAAGAATATTTGAATTTGGATTTTTTACTTTGTTATAAAAAAAGCGTTGTAAAGTTAATATAATAAAAATGGTGTACGAATATATTTCTTGCAAAAATTAGCATTGGGGATTAGATGATGAATTAATATGTTTACTCAAAAGGGAGATACTTGTATAAACCATGGGTGATATGTGCATAATTTGACTTAAATTTTCTTAAAAAATATTATAGAGACATCTAGAAAGAAAAATTCTTACTATGTAGATATAGAGGAGAGAAAAAAGAGAAGAGAAGAGAAAGAAGAGACCATGGAATATTTTTCCGCACACAGCACACTCCCTCACGGTAGGGCCGAAGAAAAAAAAAATTTATCGGATTACTTTATTTTCATTCTAATCTGCATTTTCTTTCAGAAAATTTATGGAGGAAGTAACGAAAACAACCTTCACAAAACGTTGAAAAATAAAATAAAATAAAAATAATATAACATTTTTATTATTATAAATAAAATAAAATAAAAATAGAGGTCTAAACAAATACCCGTATCATTGTTCGCAATTTGGAGTTTGGGATTTTTTAGATTTTTCAACAGGTTATATTTTATTATTTCAAATAAATATAAAATACTTTAAATTCAAATTTGTTATGTTTAATTCACTGCAATTTGTTATGTTTTCAAATAAATATGTTAAATTCAAATAAATATAAATAATACTTTTGCTTCTTCTATATCCTTTTAGTTTTTATTGGAATTTTGAACATGGCGAGACCTCTTCTTATCTCTCCTTTTCACAATCTTCTATTCTCATCCATGCCTATCACAATTTTCTTTGTTGTGCTTGCGATCTTCTCTATGTTTTCTGTCATCACTTTTCTCTGTGGTAATAGGAGAATGAACAAGTTTCAAATAGAAGCAGAGGAAGCAACAAGGTCCAAGGAAGACAAACTCATTTCTAAGCTAAACAGAAATATTAGCAACAGAGCACTTTCCATGGTGAACATGCTATCTTGGAGGAAGTTGCGTACAGAAGAAGAAGAAGAAGAAGAAGGAGAAGGGGATGAGGCAGATTGTGGTGACCAAGACGAAGAAGCCCTCTGGAGGAAGAACATCTTGATGGGTGAACGGTGTCGTCCTCTTGATTTTTCCGGGAAAATTGAGTATGATTCTGAGGGGAAAACGCTTCCTGATTTGTCTCCTCATGATGAACACCACTAGAAATTATCTGAATCAGCATTAGTGTGTTTTGAATTGAAAGTTGTTTACAACTATACTCAGGTTTTGCATAGTTTGTAGAATTTGATGTGTAAGATACATAATAAATTTAGCAATTTTCTTATGAAAACTGATGTGAACTTTGTGTTCCTATTGCTTTCCTTGATTTCTTTAATTTAATTTTCTGATTTGTGGTTGGAACTTTTTGGATAACACTTTTCATATGAGTTGATCATAAGCGGGGAGATTGTAATATGTAAAGTGTTCCTTTGTAACTTTGATCTGTTGGTTGTAGAATTTACTGGTCATTTTCGACATTTGGTGCACGCTTTTAAAATATTTTAAATGAAATAAATACTTTGTGAATAAAATAAATATAAGCATATATTCGATATTTTTTTCCTGTAGAAAAAAATTAATATTTTTTTTCTATTTTTTGTGAGTGTTTTTTCTTTCTAATAACGGAAAATTCAGAAGGTTCAACAAAATGGATGATGTCCCCCCACCCCCTCCCCCAAATTAACTCTTATTGATATTTTTTAATTAGGTATGTAACTAATATAATTTAAGGTAATGACATATCAGCACTAATGCATCAGATACTGTTAGAATTTCGCAGTTAAACGTATTTGGATAAGAGTAGTATTAAGATGGGTCACCTTGTGAAAAATCATAGTGTTGCAACTTTTTTAAAATTTACCAAAAAAAAAGAAAAAGATAATAACGTTGTGGAAACTTATGCTATGTGACAGACGGGATGTTAGGTGGTGAGTAACTGAATATTACTGTCCAGACCAACTTTACGTTGAATATTAGATATTTTGTTTTTGTTATAAATAAGGATTTCCTAGCCCAATAATGATCCGTACATTGTGTACCATATCCATATGCTCGGCCTGACCCAATTCCTCTTCCAAATTTAGCCTACCGGGGCAGAATAGCCTAAAACTTCCTCGTCAGAGTAGGGTAGGTTATTGACATTCCCAATAATTGCTTATCCATACTCTTCGTTAATACTTTATACTTTTAATTTTCTAAATTACCTCCACTTACTTAACAATGGGCTATTAACAATAAGCGAATAAAAAACAAAAAAGAAATTTTTTTTCTTCTTATTTTTCTTTGTCTATTCTTTTAAATTTATTTATGCTAAATATATTTCTAATTATTATTTGTAGATAGTATGCATTAATCATCGTGATGATCGTATGAGAATTATTTTAATAAAATAGAATTTAATTAAAACAAAAATAAAAGAAGGACTTTAATGCGTTTATATATATTCTTAATTTCTAACAGCGTTACGAAAATCTCATCCAATGCTTCTATACACAAAACTTTCTTTTAAATTTAATGTTCTATATTAATTAATATAAAAAGTACTCTTCAATAATTTAAGTAAAAAATTAATAATGTGATTTGTAAAGTGTAAAATATAAAAAGAGACTATAAATAACATTAAATTTATTAAAAATACAAAGCTAAAACGTAAATAGAAAGAAGATTAAATTAAAAAAGTTTAAGTTTAACTTGAAAAAAAATATTAACATGATTTAAGAAAAATGTAATTCGAAAGTGTTGAATTAAAATATAACTTAAAAACTATTACTAAAATTAAAAAATAAAAATTCAAAATTCAAATGTGTAATAGTTAAGTACAAGTATTAAAATGTTTTACTTAGCAAAGAGAGAAGTTAATGAAGTAAAAAAAGTTAATAAAAGGACATTTTAGATAATTAAAGTTATAAAGAGTTGTAAAAGAGCATAGATAAATAAATAGAAGTTTCAATAGCTTTATCCCCAAGTAATATCAATTTAAGGATTAGGACCTTCTGCATTTTTAGGATATAGGATTTAGCTCCGTAGTTCCTAATCTAGGGTAATTATGAGTAATAATAAGATTTAAATACCTAAACTTTGAACAATGTTTATCCGCATACATTTTAGGTTATAAGGTAAACCACAACTCATTGATTTTTTTCACCGTTTTATTGGTTTTTTTTAGGTTGGAATAGTACGTCATGAAACTTATTTGTAAACCTTATAGATGGCAAGTTAATTTGACATGGGATTAGGTAATAGAACTAGTTGTGGTATTTTGCAAACTAGAAATGGTCAAGTATTTGATGCATCAATACTGTAAGAAAAGCTACTTCTGGATAGAAAATGTGAGAGGATACCCCATCCGTTCTTGCAACTTTCACCTAGGCATACTGTTGAGAAAAAGATGAATTGATCGTAATTTATTGCACTTCATGGTCCACATCAAGCCTTTTTGTATCTTTCTTTTTTAAATATTTTGTTAATATCATCTTTATAGTATCTAGGTGTGAAAAGAATAAACAATGCATAATATCCTATCATAAAAACAAACAACTTATTTTAAATACACTCTCTGTATATAGCCATTTAATAATTAGCAAACTCAATAATACATCGAAATTAAATAAATTTCCTTTTCTAAATTTCCCTCCAACTTTACTCTTAGAACCAGATATTTAGAGCATGTTTAGATGAACTTTTTCTCTTCCAAAAGCTGCCTTTTTTTTTTTTTTTAAAAAAAAAAGTGCTTCTAGAATTTTTTTGATATTTGGATATTAACTTTTAAAAAAAGTAGAAGTCAAGAAAAAAATCCAAAATTCTATTTTTTTAAAAACTAAAATTTATGACTTTTGAAAAAAGAAGAAGCCAAAAGCAACTTATAATAATCCAAATAATTAAATGGTGAATTTGAGAATTAATTATGACTTAAGAGAGAGTTTAGATGAAAAATCTAATTGTTAAAACTAAGTCACTTTTCGGAATAAAAATACAAAATACAAGTTTTGGGGTAAAAAAATACTAATATGCAAAAGTTACATTTTCAATGTATTGAAAGAGTATTTTCAAAAGGTTTATAAGTTTGGAACTTAACTTAGAATTTACTAAGTCATGGACAAGAATGGAATAAACAAAAAGGTTATAATGGTAATTTACAATGTTCAAAAGTTTGAGTTTGGTCAAAATTTAATTAAGTGAATAAATCGTTTAGGGGGTATTTTATTTGAAATCATGGAAAAGCTCATTTGGGATTCTACTATATCTATGTTTGGTAGAGGTAAATGCAAAAATTTGTCCATGATTCCAATTTGGCAAGCTTTTTGATTGTAGTGTAAAATAAAAGTCAAAATACCATCAACAAATACCACAAAGTAGGTGGTATTTTCGGAATCCGACTTCTTGAAAAATGTTAACATTTTCCAAGAAGAAGCTTTTTGATTGTAGTGAAATGGTTGAAGTTTTATGTGTAGTAATATTTTGTTAATACAATCTTTATAGTATCTTCTTGTGTGAAAAAAAAAAAACAAAAAGAAGATGCGTAGTATCGTATCATAAAATAAACAACTTATTTTTAATACACTCTTCGTATATATTGTCATTTAATAATTAGCAAACTCAATAATACACCGAAATTAAATAAATTTCCCTATCTAAACTTGCGCTCCAACTCTACTCTTAGAACCGGATATTTAATCATTCAATTGTTTCTTTTGCAGTAAACATTGCTTTAAACCTCTTGGATCCTTATTCCTTAACCTATACAGGCACTTTGGGGTCTGCTATAGATCAAGCAATAAGGCACAAATTCGAAGCAATGCTCGAAACTTCTAATTGTCAGTACTATAAATGTATGCTCTCAAATCTCTTTACATGCTCTCAATAATGAAATAGGCTACAGATTTGAGAGCAAAATTAACATGCTTCAGAGGCACCAGGACAGAACGGTGGTGGTGCTAATGCTTTGGCTAGCCTTCTGCCTCGGTTTTTGGTCAGGGGCTGAGGGCTTATTTGTCATTTGAGTCGTAACTATTGATGAGGAGCTGCTTCTAGAATTTCTCCACTTTCCACTGGGCTAAAACTCACTCGTTTCTGCAAAATCATAAAATTCAAGGAAGAACATTAACTTAATTATTCCCTGAAAGAATCGCATATTAGCTAATTAATATGAACGCAAAATCATTATTTAGACCAACTTTGAAATGTTCTTTTTTATTTATTTAAAAATGTTACTTTTCCCCCTCTCGTTAACTAAGGTATTTGGATCTTGAATACACCAAGTCTAAGTCTCCCATAACACGTTACTTAAGATCAAATCTGAACTAGTAAGCGAGGGGTAATTGTTCTCTAGATCAAATTGCAAGCATACTGAAATATTATGACGCTTTAGATTTGAGAAAATTGGTAATTGTTGACCTCGTTGCAGTCAAAGTGTTTTGCAAATTTTAAAAAAAGACTATAAAATTTTGAATATTGTGAATCAAAACTTCAAAAGTTTTAAAAATATAACACACTTGAAATCCGCAACAAGAAAAGGATGTTGTCTACGCAAGCACATGGCATTTCACGCGTGTCAACATCATTAGGAATCGAAACGGCCAAACAAACATAGCATACGGACATTCAAACAAATTTCAACGATTCAAGAATGTGATTAATAATATTATAAAACAATAAAATAAACGAAGATAATAAGAAAATAAAATACATACCCCGCGTGGCTTGTGGTTCACCCTCACGCCACCGTCCACCGCCGCAGAACCGCCAGACTCGCCGGTATTAGTTCCAACATACAAACTTATAATCTTCTCCGCCACCTCAGATTCGTCGTTGCTCTCCTCCATCAATTTTTCCAACTGGGCCTTTGGGATCCTCATCTTGACCCTCATGCGCCCATCCATGCCCATGCCCATGCCCATGCCCATACCCATACCCATACCCATATTCGAAGGCGGGTTCACGAGGGATAGGTCCGAAACGGAGCGTTTCGAGAGCATTAACAACTCGAGCCTAGCCTTTGCGTTCATGCCACTGATACCACTGGATCGCACCCTCCTGGGCAGTGCCGTTTTTTCTTCTTCGGGCTGAATAATCGGTAACTGAACGAGGAAGTAGATTTTTTTGGGCTTGAGCTCATGATGAGGTTCGAGTGGCTTGGCCCGAAGCCCGAAATGTTTAACCGCTTGGGAATCGAGGAGAACGTGACCGGGATAGTCCTTGACGACGTCGTTTGCTTTGGCCGGAGTCTTAAGCTTGAAAGTCTCCCCGTCTATCTTCATAACCTTGGCTTTTTTACTCCTTCCTATGGTGTTCCCCATCTTTGGATAAGAAGGTACGTGTTTCTTTCTTTCACAAGCACCGAGTTTTGTGGTGTGTGTGTGTGTGTGTGTTTATTTATATATATTCGGATTATGGGAAGGGAGGGATTCGATTTGTTAGTAACAACTTAGAAAGAGGTTGACAAAATCAAAATTGAATTATGTTATGTGATGTGTTGTGTGCGTGTGTGAATTAGTGGAATTTCGCTTTGTAGAGAGTTTCCCTTTAAAAAATTGATTGGTGATTTATACGATAAATAGTAGTGTGAAAACGTGGATTACATGGAAACGAACAAAATTAACTTTACTTTGGTTCGGCCTAAACAATAGTCGTCATCATCAATCTTTTTTGTAATCCACATTCAGAAAAGAAGAAAAAGAAGTGGGCCACCCTCATTTTCTTTTCACGTGTGTCCAATATTGTAAAAAAAATAAAAAAAATTAATGCTTTATTCAATTTCTGTAAGACTGTAACCGTAAGATAACTGTTCCATACAAATAATAATTTGGATTGAACTGATTTTAGATGGAGACGCATGTATAATTATACATTTGAATATTTTGTAATTAAATAAAATTAACACAAACGCACACAGCATGATGAATTATATTAATTTCCACAAAGAAGAGAAATCTTAATCAGACTTATATATGCTGCGTGAGTTTCGGCATGGATGTTGTCAGGTAGCCCTTATAAAGTTATAATAGATAAGATCATAAAAGATGCCATGTTACTTTATAAACTCCTTTTTCATTCTAAACTTTAATCAACAGATGTCAGTGTCGGATAGGTGCGCTGCGCTCATCCCTTTCGTCAGATGGTTATCCAATGTTGACTTGATTTTCCAAATATGTATGCACATGTACGCTGTTTTTTATTTTTAATTTTAAAAATAATCTTATACATATATTACATTACATTATATTCGTATAATTTTTATCATTTATTCATAAAGAGATTTATCTTTTTTTTTATATACTTACATACTGTGCTTATTTTACAAATATAAACATGAAAGGTGTGAGGATAAAATAATGATTAATTACTATTTTTTTCCCTCCATTTCTCTGCCTCTTTTCTTAGTACCTCATAGCTTCATATTGTAGAGCTGCATTGTAACCCTGAAAAATAAATAAATAAATAAATCCTTAGACTATATTAGAGCCGGCTAACAGTAGTAAAAAGTGAAAACACTGACCTTTGCCCAAGTGGAAGCCAAGTCTTCTCAAGTGTCAACACCTCCAAGGCTAGGGAAAATTCAAGTTGTGTTCTACTTAGCAGCTAGCTAGTTCAGATGAATCAATATCATGAAACAAAATGTCGTTTTAGTTATGTTAAGTAGTACAATCTAGTTGACATGCATGCTAACAACACCCTTGAAAAAATTAAAGGGACTGTAGCACCAAAAACATTTTGGATTTTCCTTCTAATAATTTTAAGAAGTAGTTTTATAGCAAGAAAATACATGACTACTTTCAAGATTCGAAGATCCATATTTCACCAAACTCTATTTCAACAAAAATGGCTTCGGACGCTTATAGCTTGGACCAACCCCCACCAAAGCACTGATAGTCCTTTTACTCCATGTGATTAGGAAGATAGAAAATAAAGTTGGAAAGTGAAAAATAAAGGAGACATGACATAAGTTGATAAGAGCATATTTAGGAATATATAAAATAAAGATATGAGAAGTAAATATAAAATAGACATGACATAAGTTGGGATGAACGTATAATGAAAGAGAGACCAGTGACGAGATGTGGGAAATGGGGTTGGTTGGATGGAGGGAGGGAGGGGGGGGCAAGTGCCTCTGCTCTGCTACTATCGAGAGTAAGAGTGACATGGTATAAAAATGTTCAAAATTTCAGTAATTGATATTAATAGGGAAGATATTTAACTATTGTTTGAACTACAGACAAATCTGAGGAACTACTTGAAGTATTGCTTGAATTTCATTATAAATCGCAAGGTTAGGGTACATCTCAACTTCACCAGATGTGGATAATGACCTGCTTGGACAAACATGCATGACCCATGGTTGTTCATTTGGTTTGCTAGAACTTTGTATATTTCAATAAGTCAGCCCATTTTCATCAGCTTAGAGAGACTACTATTAATAACATATGTGTCAATCGACAGTAGCGATCAATATTCATTTGACTTGGATTTTCATGTAAAATACATAAAATCAATTATACGGTTACTTTTCATGTAGGGTCGTCTGTTAAATTTGTTTTTATGTTACTTTTTATATATCTTTAATTTATACGTCATGAATAATATTATTACATGGGTAAGATGAGAGGATACAAACCTACATTTAAAAGATGATTTGTTTATAAACATATCAGGCAGTCGCATGCTGAGTGATATATCAGAATTCAAAAGTTTGTCTTGGTCCAACAAGACTTGTTATTAAGGACGTTCTTTTCTTATCTTATTGTGATTGAATGCTTCTCAAGTTGCATAGTAATTCAACTCATCAAGTTCCGTGGTAGCCAAAAGTCTTCTACGTACCTCTCAATGTCAGGCTAAATTGGTCCCAATTTTTTTCCTATTTTCACTACGTTTACAGCATACTTGCATTTACTGCTCATTTAATTGACGTAGAGCAGGAACAGAGCTGAAATTTGAGTTCTTCTGCAACTTCACTATCTATATATGTCAAAAATAAAATCGTCCCTAAAACCAAGGAAGCAAATAAAAAAAAGTACAAGATAAAATATAATATGTATTTTTTTTTCATGGGAATTATTTTTTAATTATTCAATAACATCGGCAATCTTAATGCTTATTCTTTTTTGAAAAATAAAAACTTTAAAATAATTACGTGTTGGACATATATTTAATATTCGTATGAACTTTATGTAAGAAATTTCAAAATAGAATTATATGAAATTAGAACACCAAAAGATTCAGGCTTACTCGTTGAATACATGATTCTTGATTTCTTGAAGGCTTCTTGTTTACTCTGATGCTCCTGCAATGGAAAGATCAGGATCTTCCTCTGCAATTCACACCACTCCCTTATTACAATCGTCGATGGGGCGAGTTGTGGAGTGACGATTTTCCAACACGTTACGAATGCAGAAGGGACCTAGCCAAACTTATTAACCCTAGTCCCCTTCCCATCATGGGCCTATGGGTTAGGCCTACACTGTTACCCACACTAATTAGTTTACAGATATCCAAGTTCAACTCAAAGGATCACTAATTAATTGGGCTTACTGCACCCCTATATGGATCATAACTTAGCCCGTTTTTATTAAAACAATAAAAACTACAATTGATTGAAACCCACAATTATTATAAAAATTTCTAACATTCTCCCACTCGGACAAAATCAATTGTAAAATTTTAATTTAAAAGAGAAAAGGAAAACAAGTTATTTGAAAACGACTCTCGGGCTAAGGACTAATTCTTATAATGTGGCCACATTTTAAGAAAAGACATGATCCAAGGTGCGATATCTGAATATGACTCCATCCAACTAAAATCAAATAACATTGAATCAGGCGGTGATTATACCCTTACCGATATAAAACCCTCCATGGTCACAAATGTTACTTGACTCCGTCGACTAGTCATTAGTGTGGAGTGTAGCAAGAAAATAGCATGTCAATATAATCCAATAACAGCCAAACTACTATTTTCTCTGTCAGTCCTCAAATTTCTCTCAAATGCCTTAAAGCCAGAGAAATTTCATGGTTTTATCAAAAAACCATCATTCAATAAACTATGGTGTCGACTACGGGCTCTCTAGTCCAAAACACCATTATGTCTCAAACTCCCATATAGTGTCAACCACAGACATGGTGGTCCTAACGACACTGAGTTCCAAAATCTTATTATCATGTCTCAAACTCCAATATAGTGTCAACCACAGGCATGGTGGTCCCAACGACACATAGTTCCAAAATATTATTATCATGCCTCAAACTCCAATATAGTGTAAACCACAGGCATGATGGTCCCAACGACACTGAGTTCCAAAATATCTCACAATTGATAAACATAAATACGTATGTTCAATATATGCAATAATAAAACTCAAATCCTTATCAATTGTTCAAAATAAAATTTATCTGCTAAATAAACATCAATTACATCTAAAATAAATTGTTCAACATGACAAGAAAATAATAAATGATTCAAACTCCCACTAATCAACTAAATCAAAGGAATTCACAATGCCCATATTCTTCACATGTATTTATCATGGGCCTAAATCCTTTGGTTAGAGAGTCAGTCAATATTCTCAATAACTAAGTCATCCACATACAATACAAGAAAAGAGACTTTTCTCCCACTGACCATATGGTAAATATACTAACAGAAATTATTTTCATCATAACTCAAGAAAGTCACTACCTCATCAAATCACCATTACTGTAAAATAAAATCCATGTTGATTTAAAAAGGATATAGAATTCAAAATCCTTCTCAAAGAGGTCTTATAGAAAATTCATTTCAAAATAAATCCATATCCTGACATTAAAAACTAAGCAATTATCTCTCATTGACTCGACAATAACTTCAAGATCACACAAAATTAATCATATCTCTCCCACTAAAAAACACGTCAAGTATGTTCTCTACATTAATTGTGAGCTAACACACAATGCCCTATCAAGATCAAAATTCATAAAAAAAAAATTAAAAAAATTCTAGATCTCATCTCCATTAATCACAATTCAATCCAACCAACAATTCTATTATGACATTGTTATCGTTCATATCAAAAGTATATTTATTACATAAATGCAATTATATTAATTATGAGCAATAAAATAATTTTAACGAAATAATTAGCATATTATAAACTCTCCTTTGGGCAGATAATTGCAAACAATAATTTTTATTAACAAAGAATCTTGACGATTCACAAATAACATTCTCAACAATTATACCTAAAAATATGAAAAACCTTATAGCATATGTTTCCAAATTCATATTGCATTTACTAAATTATAATTTGTATCATAAATTTCAATCCCCAATATCAGCAATTATATATCTTAGCTCACTAATC